ATGTGGAGGAATACCTGTCAAATATGGACAGAGCTTGGCCTTTGCTGGAGTCACCAACACATGTAAGAGTTCCTGCAGAATGGACAAGGAGAAAAAGTTTTGAGAAAGAGACTGTAGATGTAATGCACTTATATTCTTCTCTTTCTCATAGTGTTGAGGTGCTTTGGCATTCCTGCTCGTCCAGTCACAAACTTCTGTTCTGCTCATGACACTGATGTGTCAATGACAGTGGACATTTATCTTGATGAGAACTATGATCTGATCGATAACCTGAACTGTGATTCAGTCTGGTAAGATTCTGTACAAACCTCTTTCATTATGTACTGTAACATCAGCATTAGTGTCCTATAGTCCTATTAGTGCTATAGTACCATGATGGGACAAGCACACAAATATAATTTCTTAAACTGCATATTATGAATATTTAAAAATATTTTTTGCCACTCCTGTTTCAAGTTTGGTGATAACTGCTTTGTTAACCACCACCTGTTGGTGAGAAAATGTATATGCACTGAATGTACATTTAATATTTTTTACAGTTTTGATCTAAACTATGCAGTGTTCCTGAAAAAGCACAATGTGATTGTAACAACGTTCGTAGTTCGGGAAGAAGGAGGCAGGAACCGGCGAATACTTAAGACTTTAATAAAATAGACAAACACAAAATTAAAGTAAAGCGGCAGCCCCTCGCGGACGACTGCCGCACACCAAACACAAAATAAAATCCAGGCCTGGTCCTCTCTCGTCTTTCACTGTCGTAACTCCTCCTTTTATACTTACGGAGCTCCTCCGTGGGACTCGAGACCGGTGAGTGGTGCAGGTGTCGCTCATCATCAATTACTCCACCGGCCTCGCTCCGTTCCCACGGCTCTCGGCCCCGCCCCCACTCGTCACAATGATGAATCTGCGTTGCAAAATTTTCTTGTATGCATTATTATAATGACTTCGGAAATCCTACTTTTCATTGCATTAGGTAGTTTAAGCAAATTTAAGTTTAAGTTTAAGCAGGCAGTAAGTTATCCAATGTACAGACATTGTTTCTCTGTCTCCTCTACTTTGAATCTATTCACAAAGATTGTGCTTCTTTCTTCTTCTCTTCCATGTAGGAACTACCATGTGTGGAATGAGGCCTGGATGACTCGGTCAGATCTGCCATCTGGTTTTGGAGGTTGGCAGGTGGTTGATTCCACTCCTCAGGAAACCAGCCAGGGAATCTTCCGCTGCGGCCCCACCTCTGTTGCTGCAATTCGCAGCGGGCAGGTCTTCCTCAAATATGACACACCCTTCGTTTTTGCTGAGGTATGAAAATGTACTGTACTGTACATACTGTAGGTTTTGAGGCAGTTATTCCTGTAACTTGGATCTTTTTCTCAAATTCTCTCTGTCTCACATACACACCACCTTGTGGTAATAAATTATGAACAATGAACTAATCTTGCTCTAGGTGAACAGTGATGTAGTCTTCTGGCAGCGGACAGCTTGTGGAACATTTGCTGTGATCCACGTTGACAAGAACGCAATAGGTCACTGCATCAGCACCAAGGCTGTCGGCTCAGACAAACGTGTGGATATCACACACCAATACAAACACCCAGAAGGTGAAAAGTCACACACATCACTTATAGACTCTTTCACTCTGAATAGTTGTAATTTTACCTCCACTTCCCACATCCATCAGGTTCAGAGGAGGAGCGCCATGCTGTGGAAACTGCCCTTCGTCATGGCTGCAGGAAATGCGTATACCCACTGCCCTGCGCTGAGGATGTAGTCTGTGATATCACCATGAAGGGTGATGGACCATGTGTGGGCAAGGATGCCATGCTCTGCATCGCTCTGAAGAACAAATGCAGCTCACCTCGTAGCGTCACCCTCCACAGCCAAGTGTCTGCCACATACTACACTGGAGTTCACAAAGCCTTGGTGAAGAAGGACCAGACATGCTTTGAGCTCAAGGCCAGTGAAAGTAAGAAAATAAATGAATCAGAGCTTAGCTAAAGTCATGCAGTAAAAGTAATGCAAAAATCCATTCAAAATCCATTGCAGAATTGATTTTTAACTATATCGTATAATCCTTTCAAGACTGAGATACCATGAGCGCTATATGCTCCATATGCCTCTGTAGAAACCATAAGAGTTTCATTAAAAAAATGAAATACATTTTAATTAAAAAAAAAATATTGGGAGCCAGTTTGGTTTGAAAAATCTCATTCAAACAATGGTTCTCTTCATAAAAGATTAACCTTTAGCTTTTATCCAAAGACCATAAATCTGCTCTTAGTAGAGACTAATATATATATATATATATACACACACATAAAGGATTCAAAGTGGTATTTTCTCAGAAATGCCATAGAAATCCATTTTGGGTTCCGTAAAAAACCTTTCAGTGAACAGTTCTTAAAAGAACCATTGTGTCTGTGTTCAGAACATTTTTATAATCTAAAGAACCCTTTGCCACTGTAAAGAACCTTTTGTGGAATGGAAAGTTCCATGTATGTTAAAGGTTCTTCATGGAATCATCAATGCCAATAAAGAACCTTTATTTTTAAGAGTGTAGAGACTCAGTAGAAACTAAATTAAAATAGCATAATATAAATTGTTCTGATATGGTAGGGATGAGGATGTTTACCACTGCATTCAAGCTTGTATATATTCAGTGTTTATCTCTTGTCCATTTTTAGCCAAGGTTCTGGAGTGGGCCCTGCGATATGAGGATTATAAGAAACACCTTGTGGATCATTCAACGATGATGCTCACTCTCGCTGGACGGGTCACTCAGACTAATCAGATTGTGGCCAAACGCTTCAACTTCAGAATGTGCACTCCAGATCTTGTTATTACTGTGAGTTTGAAAAACGTGAAAGCTATACTTCACCTGCTGGTGTTTATGAATGAATCTCACCCAGTTTAGTGAAATCATTTAATCCTAGGCCTAGAAACGAATTAAGAACCACTGATTATTAGCTGGGTGTGGAAAATTGAGTCTTTTTTTATAACTGTTTGTAACCTGAATGGTGTTAATGCAGATTGTGATTTGCCCTTTTAGCCTGGATGTGACTGTGCGGTGGGCAAAGAAGTGCCAATAAAAATCACATTCCAGAACCCACTGCCCTGTGTGCTGAAGAAGTTTGAGTAATATTTTGGAATTATGCGTTCAAATTCTAGTTTCACATATTTTAGGAGAAATTGCAAATATTGAACCATTCTAATCATTCACAACTTCAACTGCTTCATTTTGTTAGTCAGCCTAATCAAATGACAATATGTGGTTGTGTTCAATGATGTATTTACTCCTTTTAGCTGCACTGATAATCTGTCCTCCCTGTTGCATCAATAAAAGTTATTCATTTGCAGTACTATTTGCGGTGTATTTGTGATGTGTCTGTGAAATAATTTGTATTATAAAACGTTTTATTCACCCAACTGTTCTGTGTATCACTGTGCAACACCCATAGCAACATAATCAAAACTGTTCATATATTATTTAGCAAAATTAACTGTTTAATAGTATGTATTTAATGAATACACCGCAGCCTACTGCTGGCGATATGTTGCGTCATTCACCTTTAATTTTGAGGCCACGCCCTTCCCGTTGTCATAAAACTCCTCTCATATGGGAGATACGTTGATGTGTGCGCCGTCTGTGTGAGTTTCCGAAGTGTATTTATTAGTTTTCTGTTTCAGGTATGTTACCGTATGTCCATCAATTTACACTGTAATGGCGCTTGCAAACGCGGGCTGTGCCGCGAATCGGTCCAGGTCGCGAATTGCTAACGATCTCTACTTTTTTCTCAATTCCGTTTGGTGCCGCTAGTGGCGCTGAAATTATATACTTTACCTTTGACATCCTGTCAGCTGCATGGAAAACTATGCTGTTGAATTCAAGATAGTACAGGAACCCAGTCAGTTCCAATCAGCAGAAAACGTTTTTAAGCTCTGTGCTGAACCTCTGAGTGGCGGGCTTTTTGAAGGTGAGACAAATTTTACCTCATTACAAATAATATTTGTTATTTTTTTAATTTATGAAAACATAAGAGTAATGTCATAACATTTTCTCCATCATGGAGGAAACTTTCATCTAATAATCACTTACATGACTCTTTTACCACAAATTGTAAGCCTGTCAGTGACTATAGAGGCTACAATACGAAAAGTTCAAGAAGTTCAAATACATTGTGAGTGTGTTTATGTATCTCTTAACACTATAGTTGGTCTTTTCTATACGCGTTTCAATATTCTAAAAGCAAATTGTACTAAACTGAGGGCCAGTTATTTAATGGTCATACAGTTCTTTGTATATGTGTAATGGTTAATTCGCTGTTGTTATTAAGTCAGGCGACAGTCACACGCCTATTGTTAGGACCCAGAAGGTGCAAAGGACCCGGATGCTGATATGAAGATAGCAAAGGACAAACAGAGGTGTCATTCTTGGCAGCTAGATCCAGAGTAGCTCCAAAGAAGCAGCAAACAATCCCCCGACTCGAGCTATGCGCTGCTCTAACTGGAGCACAATTGGCAGTAGTTCTGC